TTGACAATGGTAGAATTGGATTACTTCCTTGAAATACCTATTGTGGTCGATTAAAGAAAGATAAATTAATCAGGGCACCCAACGACAATTTTCCGAAAATACCTGTTCGGAAGACGATTTGAGATCTAGAATTTCTAAAAAATGGTATCATTGCCCATTTTTTAACCGATTTTCACCTAGAATTTTCGGGGAGCCTTTTTTTCTGGCTGAAATTTTCGACAAGGTAAGTTTTGTTCCCTATAATTTTGGGATCACTAGACTTTCAGCTAGGAAATCCGAACACATGAAAAATTTTTAGGGGATAAAAATATGCCTATATCTACCGTTTAAATACTAAAATACGTGTAACAATACTACGTTTAAGTGGTTTTGATCTACATTCTCGTTAAGTGCCCTGATTAATACATTTAGCTGTTAGTAAACTGTAGGTTAGACTAATATTCGGCAGTATAATTGTCATCCGCGATCAAAGTTCACCCTCAAGGTCTCGCTCAAAGTACAGCACAGCTTTCTTAGCTTACTTAGACTCCTTAGTTTCCTCAATAACATATGGAATTTTATCACAGTACAGAGTAACCGTTGAATGTTAATCTTTAACAAACATTGCGCAATTTTACAACCTCTATTAAGGGACACCTCTATTAAGCGGACACTTGGGAAGGTCCCGTCCGCTTAAAAGAGGTTTCATGCACTCAGTTATTATCATATTATTTTTTTGACGTGCTTACAGTCAAACCAGGGTCAAGCGGCCCGTCGCTAACAAACCAATGAATTCATTAATGGCAAAATGATTTCGTTTGTTGATTCAATAATCCATTCATAAAATGAATAATCCAACGGTCAAATTGTACTGATTCAATAATCAAATGTTGATTTGGTTTATGAACAAAATCTACCTGTTCTTTATTCTTGTCTCTGTTGTGTTCAATCGTATTTGCTTCCCTTTTCCTGCTGTTTACGATTGCGTTTTTCATTGCCTTTAATCAAATAACAGCTAGAATAGACAGACCGCAAACGCAAAGAAACTGACAAAGGCCGAGGATCGAAATCCACCAATCACCGCACATACACTGACCTCAGTTTTGACCGTCGTGTTTTCTAAGAGGTCAGGCCTAGGTCTGTTGCACTGATTATTGGCAGCAAACTGGCGTACATGTAACAGTTTGTTTGGGTTTGAACTTCAGAACTCGCCAGCACTCGACCTCAGAAAAAAAAGAGGAAAACACAAAATTCTGAGGTCAACTTGTGGAAAGTGTAATTTTTCAAAAAACAGTAATCGAATCAACATTCGATTATGGAATCGAGGCTAAATATGACTATTGATTGCTCATTTTATGAATGGATTATTGAATCAACAAACGAAATCATTTTTCCGTGAATGAATTCATTAGTTCGGTAGCGACGGGAACGCTTGACCTGGTTTGACTGTAAGGTCTCGTGACATACCGAGAAAAAAAGAAAAGGAAATCATATCCATTATAACGTTTTAGTGTAATTGCTGTTAGTTAAATTAACGGAAGATGATTGCAGTTACTTTTTACCATGTGTACTTAGGAATTACAACAGCAACTGTGAACACATATAGTTTACTTATACATGTATACTTATATATCAGATATAATTAACGTTTTGATTTTCTAAGTGCACAACGTCTGTATAAGCTGAACCACTGAATAGAAACAGCCGTTAAAGGTCAAATAGAAAATTGGTTTGTTTCGGATTTCAATTTTCATGATTTCAATCATTTTTTAAGCTTATAGCAAAATTTAACGACATGGTGAGCCACTGAGTGAATTGGGTGGAGAAACTATATGGGTGTGGGTAGGTACGGGGTATGCCCCACGGAACTTTAAACTTCAAGTTAGGGGAGCACGTTGCACATAGTTTTCACCATCACAAACACCATTCCAATTGAATTTGCACTTTTCCTCCCAGTAAAGGAGTCCAGCGATTCCTTCCGATGTGAACACTGATTCATTTTGATAAAGTTGTCAGCTATTTTTTCTTTTGAACTATTGACACATTTATCGCTATCGCGGCAGATATGTTGTGTGATTTTTTCGCGTAGCTTAAACTCGAGGAAGTAGTGGTATCCAGTGAGAACCTTGTTGAAGGTTTTCATTATATCAAACACCGCCCACCAGTTTTTGGGAATTACATGAGTTCGCGATATTAAAGCAGTGAAGGCAACTCTAACTCTGTCATAAATTTAAAATCAATAATTAACATATTTTTAACGTTACTAGATTTTTTAACTAAGTACAAAAAAGTAAACCACTTACTAATACATATACTAATACATATAAACTTCTGTGGCGAAGGCTTTCTAAACCATTATATCCTTTTGAAGGAAGGTTTGAGATTGCATGCATCATAACTATCGCCTAATGACTGTTTTGAATTTTTCCGGGAAACAAGGTGATTTCGTCTGTGTAAACAGATTAGGGACCTTAAGCATCGACGACGAAATGGGACGACGACGCCGACCGGAAGTGAAATT